CCTCTGACGTAGGGAATGACCCTCCAGACCTCGGGCTGCTGCTCATTTGGCCGGCGTCTGTGAGCTCGGCGTCTACCTTTCTCGATAGAATGTCTGGGATAACCATTGGCCGCAAAGAGGTTTTGAGGGTATGCTCGTTCGGCCCTTTTATCTTCCGCGTGCTGCAGCGTGTTTCAGCTCTTTGAAATGGAGTTCGGACACAGCTACGCCTGCGAGACCGAGGATAATTGCCGTTCAAGTGTAGGATTTGCCTCGTATCAGGGGATTTCCTATTTACTGTGGTTTGCAGTTGTCCATTTGTAAACCGGCGCACAAGCATGTCGAGGAAGGGCAGTTGGTTGTTTGTTTCAGCTTCCACTGTGAATTGAATAGTTGGGTCAGCCGAGTACAGTGAATCCTTTGGGTGCTCAGTTTCAGTTGTTTTAACGACGAAGGTGTCGACATAACGTTGAAGAAGTACTCCAACAACCAGGCCTGAAGAAGGGAGCCCATAGCGATGTCTTTATTTTGTTCGCGCATTTGTCCATCAAAGATGGAATAGGTTTTAAGGCAGTGTTGAGGACGCTGGAGCAGATGTTTGGACTTCAAGGACTTGTCTCTCTTCTCATAGCGTCCAGCCAGTAGTTGGTTCACAGAGTCCGTTGCTAGATGCTGTGAAATGGTGGTGAAGAGCAAAATAACATCAAAGGATGACGTGGGTTCGTCTGACCCTAACTTCAGGTGCTTTCTGTGCTCGAAGAGTTAACCCACAGACGCCCCTGTTATTGGTGAGCCTTCGGCCAAAAACTTAAGATGACCGGGCATTCATTTTGCGAAACCGTATGTCACAGTGCCACAATGGGATGCGCTTGACCTGAGTGGTTAGGCGATCGCTCTATTGTTACAACCCGCCAGAGAAGGCGGCAATTCGGCACCGTATAATGCAACCTAAGGACATGCTGCCGCCCACTGAAACCTCAGCAGTTGTCTACAAAAGAAGTCGCAATGATGAGGACTGCAGTTACGTTGGGTAAACCGGGTGGAAATTGCAGATCCGCTTACATAAGCACAAATCGGCAACTCGGAGGCTGGATCTGAACTCCCAATTTGCAACGTAAGTTGGAAAAAACGTAATTTTGATCTTCAGGAAGATACCGTTTTAGGGTGGGGCAACCCAATGGCAGAACGGCCAACACTCGGAGTGTTGTATCCAGCTGGTCAACGCTTGGAATTCTTCACGCCCTCCTCTCAAATGCTTTCACATGTGGCCCCCTGTTGACTTCCTCCTTTCCCCTTTTTGTAACCCTTTTTCGAGCGTGATCGGCGTTCTTTTAATTAACTACTTTTGTATTCCGACGCTGAGCTGGGAATTCGATTTGCTCGAACAGTAACAAAGGAACTCTTTGTCTAGGGTATCCATTGTTGAGGTTTGTACGTTTTTTATTATTACCTTACTCTATCAATAGTACCGTATATACACCGAAATCTGTTTTGGCTTATACGCGTCACTCGTCTGGCAAGGAATTCTACACGGAGCGTGGTACTTAAACGCCCACTCCACCAACCGGCATCTGGATCTTCCTGCAGCTTACGTAGTCCTGCGTAATTACGTCCATAAATCTCAGGAAAGGATGACCACACAAAACCTAAGGAGGCCGCACAGACACCGATCGTCAAGAGCTCACTCGACGTGGAAGAAAGGGAGCCGCCGGACCGACCAACTCCAACAAAGGCTCAACCACCTCTTCCCGACGAAGTGGTGACTCACAGTGAACGCGGCCAAAATGCCCGCCAAATATTCTCCGAAAGGCCGAGGCAGCGAGACGAGGAAAAAGTCGATCAGCTCGAGGCCGACCAGCGGCGCGGTATGCCACTTCTATTTCTGTTCAATTAAGTGCGTCTTACGCTTTGACAATGGTGAGCCGAAAAAAAGCTCTCTGAAACGTCAGCATTTAAATAAACCTGTTCCAGTAAGCTTTTATTTCTCAATTTATCAGCCCGAATCCGTCAACTATACCAGTCAGTAAGAGTTGATTATTTACAGAAAATAAATTGAAGAAGAGTCGAGCACCGGAATACTTTGTTTATTGTCCTGAGCTTTCAGGCTCGTACAGGAGTCCATCGTCAGAGGTAATAGCAGCAACAGAACAAGCGCCAGTTATAAGGCATGTAGGCCAATCAGCGACCGAAGGCGCAAGACTGGAGGTGACTACGCAGGGCTCTGTACGTCGGCGCCAGATCGATAAATCGATTGAGTGAGTTCTCATCCGAGGCTCAGGCTTCAATCAATTCAACTGAGAAGCTGTGTGGTGTTCGTTTCCTTCCTATAAACCGTCGTTTCAAGTTCACCGTTAAGGTTTCGTCTGACAAGCACAACCAGGAAGGGCAACTGCTGTTCCTGTTCTTCTTCCCTCGTGAATTTTATATCTGGGAAGACTGCGTTGAGCAGGCTGTGGAAATGTTGCAGCATGTCCTTCTTTACGCTGGCGAACGTGTCTTCTACGTAACGGTGCCAAAATACCAGTTCATGTTGGATGAAAGCAATCTTTTCTAACTCCTGTAGGACCAGTTCTGCCGCTAAACCGGAGACCGGTGAGCCCATTGATTTGTTCAAAGGTCTCTCCCACAAAAATGAAGAAAGTTTGTTGGCAGAATTCAAACAGCCTCATGAGGTGTTCAATTTTGAGTGCATTCTGAGTCTCATCGTACGCCTCTTCAAGTCTCTTGCGCAAGACTTCGCGGGCCAAGTTCGGTGGGATGGATGTGAATAACGACGTCACATCGAAGGAGACCATGATTTCGTTCGGTGGGTCACGAGTTTAGCTTCGCAGCCACCAAAATAGTCGCCCACGCCGAAAAAAAACGGGCCGAGAATTGATTGAAGCCTGGGCCTCGGATGAGAACTCAGTCAATCGATTTATCGACCCGGCGCTGGCGTACAGAACCCTGCGTAGTCACCCCTAGTCTTGCGCCGTCGGTGGATGATTGGCCTACATGCCTTATAGCTGTCGCTTGTTCTGTTGCTGCTACTACCTCTGACGATGGACTCCTGTACGAGCCTGAATGCTCAGGACAATAAACGAAGTGTTCCGGTGCTCCACTCTTCTTCACTTATGCATACATCTGGAACTCGAAATTCCGCCTTCATTCGAGAAAACAAATTCGTCTGACCCAGTCATGCCAACTCGATGGTCTCGGTTCCCTAAAACCTTGTCCTCGGCTGAAGAGAACGCTAATTGCAACGGACCCGCTGAACTGCGTGCACTCTCTATCGTTCCGGCAACGGCTGTCCCACAATTCCGTCTCCCTCGCCTTTTGACTGAGGAATCTTTACGTTATCGACTATCGTACCACTACAAGTGTCAAACGCGTGTTCGGCTTTTGTCCCCGATGTCGTCTCCCGTCATCTCGGATCAAATTTGCGTTGGGAGACGGGGGGAGGCAGTGAAGTCGACTCTGTGTGGGCTCTTCACGTTAGAATAAATCTAACGCGCTTCCGATCCACGAGGACCCATTAAATATCATGACTTGAAAACATTCGCACGAGTGGTTAGGCAGCAGAGGCCCCTTCCCAGTGCGGCTTCACCTCAATGGTCGCAGAGTTGGCGCGGTCTGGTTCATATAGGCCGGAGGATCAGCACACGCGGTGCTCACAGACTGGAATAATGATCGAACAGCCACCGCGCCTACGCCTATCTTCGACCGCGTGGACCCTCTTACTGAAGCATAGCGGGCGTGGGAAGCGAGTGAGGTAGATGCTGTGAAAGTCCCTATAACCCAAGTCCTGCGCAAGTCACCTCCTCAAGTTCGGCGACGCACCATCGCGTGTTCAGCTATCAAAAGTCGGGACCCGCATTCTCTGATGGTCCGGGTGCTCTGGCTCGTATTTGAAACGGAACCAACACCGTGGCCTGGTAAGCGGACATCTTGGACAGCCCCAGCTGAGATGGATATTATTTTTAACTCTCTTTTTGCAGCTCTAACACAGTAGGAGCGAAAAAATATAGCGTGATGAGGCCAGAGTTCCGTAAGTGTACTTCACTAGAGTCCAATACAGACACAAATTGCCTTCCACAGGAAAACGGCCTTCATCGAATGCAATGGCGAAACTGGCGGGCGTGGAATGAAGCTGGGAGGCATTGCCAACCTGCAGAGGGGACACAGAACAAACGAATTCATTCTCATCTAGCCAGATTTTGGAGGATATCAGTTAGAAGAGTGTTGGCCTCCGGTAATAATTTAGAAAGAAGTACGGCCATGGGCCTCTCTGCACGCCGCCCTAAAACCCCGACATCATAGACAGACAGACAGACACTGCCAGTCATTTAGTACAAAAGGAAAGCAATTTAATTGTGAATGAAATGGAGAGATAGTGGGACAAAATAGGTGTAAATGATTGTCACAAATTTAGGTAGGCTAAAAGGACGTGGAGAAGAGAAGACGAAACAAAAGGCGCGTCAAATCTTGTTTAAATTACACACCCTACCCTCAAAGCCGATCTCTTCTGTATACTCGGGCTGCCAGTAGGGATACCGACATCGGCCACGCAGCTCCTCCTCCCAGAAGACGCCATAAAGTTGAGGGAAGCAGGAGAATAAGTCTTCAAATGATTCACAATACTCCTCCGCCAGGGCGGCCTCGTCATCGACTAGACCGCCGCCGCCGCCGGAGGTGCCATGAGCCGTGAAACAGGTCTTCTGGTTTTCAATGTAAATAAGCAGCCATTGGAGGGAGGGCATTGCTAGAGCCATGTTGCGCAGTTCACCCATCGACAGTCTCTCTCCCTCACATGTGTAAAGGAAGACGTAACGCAGAGTGGGTGAGGTGAGAGCGTCTTCGAGAGCGGCGTAGTCGTAGACAGACAGGCTACTCACGTGCAGAATAAGGACCTCCAGGGGAAGGGCAGCTAAAAGGGCCTTTAGCGGTTGCATCAAGTAGGGTCCAGCGACGGCTAAGTGGAACACGCAGAGTCTGCTCAACCGAGGACACAGTTTGGCAAGCGGTTGAACAAGGCTCAGACAGAATGAGGGCTCCGTGTGCAAAGTGAGAGACCTCAGATCGGGGAAGAGGCTGCACAGTCTTTCAAGACCGCGGGCATAGACCACCTCTTTGGCAAAAGGGTACTGCAATTCTGCAGGGAAAGCCAGGGATCTGTGCTTGGTTCGCGCTAAGCGCAGCAGACTGAGTGATTTCACGGAGGGCAGGGAGTTAACATCCCGACCTAAAGGCGCCTCGAGCTCGCCCTCGATGCCACTGGCAACCCATATTTCCGTTGAGAGCGTCACCGACTCAAGTCGGTCTCCACCACGGGCCAACAGGCGCAAGAGGTGGTGAGAACAGAAGCGACTCAGTCGAGACATGACCTCATAGAAGTCTGCGTAGTAGTCGGGTTTCTCATCACGGAAAAGTATGCTGACCGTCAACCCCTCCAACTTCCCAGAACTGTTCTGCAATATGTGAGCGAGTGGCGGTGACAGTCGGCATTCCGGCGTCTGATCCATGATCTCCGGGCAGAGGGCGATCTCAAGACTCTTTGTGAAGTCGAGATGGATGTGGGGCCACCAGATGGTGGAGTTGCTGCCCAAGAGCACGGCATCCCACGCCTCAGCACTGCCCTCCCCCTGACCTGACGCCGCCTCCAAACAGGTCTGACCAAATCCTTTGAGAGAGATTTCAATGTCCGGCAACAGTTGACTGAGCCTGCTGAGCGGATGGATATGCGTTAATTGGTCACACAGCTGGATATGGATCCTCTGAAGGCTGGGGAACCTGGAGGGCCTCTCGCGTCGGCCAGTGGCAAGGGCCTTAACAAGCTTTTCCCAGGGTGGAATTTGAAGGTAACGAAGGTTAGAAAAACTCCAATCGTCGGCATCTGTCCTGAAAGCCTTTCTGCCCATGTTACGGAGACAAAAGCGCTGAGAGATTGTCAGGGCCTCTACCCTCTGAATGGCACACATCAGGGAACGGAATTTTCCTGAGTCAGAAAATACATCAAAGCTGAGGAGGAGGATGCAAGAATTGAGGCAAGGGAGGGAAACGATGCGAAATTCGTCAGAGGATGATGATGAGGATGAGGAAGAATAAAAAGAAGAATACATGTGAGGTTTCAGCTTGCCGTGGCAGTCTCTGATCGGCCGGACTGAAAGAAACTTTAGGTGTGGAAATCTTGAGGCAGAATAACCAACATCTGATGTCGAGAACAGTTGAAGAAGAAGGGATAGGGGCTGAAACTGCTGACTGAGATCGAGTGAGGTCAGGCGGGAAAAGGCAAGAGGATGGATTAGAATGGTTCGGGCTAAGCATGTGATGGCACCACCGGGAAAATTTGGTCCTAACCGGCCAAGACGAAGGGTCTCGATGTCCAACTGAGAGAAACACTTTAGCATACTCGTGGTAAGTTCGTGGAACTCGTCAGAAAGGACCACTGCCTTGACAGAGAAGATCTGACGCTGTGGGAGCACGACCATGAGGTTCAAACGGTCACAAAGACTGATGGAGCTCATTATTCGTTTTCCAACTGCTAGTTGACACAGAGCGCGATACTAAAATGATAACAACAATGAAGTTTGTAGATCACAGAATTAGCACTGTAGTTTAAAAAAGATAGGAAATTAAGGAGGTCAGTTCGTTTGCCATCTGATCACCAGTCAAATTTTGGAGACAGGTTACGAAAATTTGGTCCACTTGTCTATTAATCGAAAGAGGGAAAATTGTGCCCTCCATATGAATTCGTCCCGTGTACACAGACAGTTGAAATCTCATGATATCATACTACTCACATTAACCAAGTAAACAGTTTTGTGTCGGTAACATAATGCGGTCGCATTGACGTCAACTACTACGGTAAGTAGGTCAACACCGTTAATATAGTATCCTTTTACCCTAAAATAACACAAGACAGCTTGCTTACGAATCAAACGGCTAACCAACGAAATTCCACTCCAGAGGATGAAATCGAGACAAACGTCGAAAATGAATCATGTAGACGGCAGTAATCACGATCTCTTAAGCATCCACAGTGGGCGAATTTGACTGCAATCCTTCATGGTGCATGACAAAACCATGGAGAGATTGATCTGTTTATTCCAATGTATGAAAGCCCCGCATGCCAAAGTCAATGCAGGCAAATGCAGTTTCAAATGCTACTAGGACAAAAGCCTGCCCCGGGTGAGGTTCGAACTCACGACCTTCAGATTATGAGACTGACGCGCTAACCAACTGCGCTACCGAGGCACGTGCGTCGGTGCTAAACACTTTAATTTGACAATTTGCTAGACAGTAAACTTGTTAGTATTGCTAGTATTGCAGATCTTTGTAAAAACGATGTCCCTCGTATAGAAAATTCCGCTTAGGACATAAAGCTGACAAGTTAAAGTGCCTTGAGGGGGTTGGTGACAAATATGGAAAACAGTCAGTCCAATCTAACCGTCTTTGCCATCATACTACTTTTGAGGACTTCATGCTCCATGCAGCTAAGCACATTGTCCTACTCTCACAGAAAAGAGCGATGATTATAAATACTAATGCTTAACAGTTAAGAAATGGGTGGGCACGCACTTTCTTCACATTCTCAGCCGGAATGGGTAGAGTCAAAGTAAAAATTGTCACTCATACGAACAGTTCCAAGTGCAGAATGTTATTACCGACAAAGACAGGGGAGACTGGAATGGCCACTCCTGGCCATTCACGCCCAACCCCGAAGCGTGAAACACCTGGGGCTCGATGCCGCGATCTGCTAGTTAGAAGTCCAACGCCTCTAACCACTGAGCCACGGGCACGTTGTTCTGTCGGTTTTTGGTCGGGAATGTACAATGGTAGAGGAGCGCTCACCGATCGTCTTTACGGAAGTCACTCGTCTCGTTGTGCCTTACGGGCCCTACCTCAAGCCCAACATGCGCCACACGAACGAAATCACATTAGCTCTGACCTCAAGGCTGTGAAAGATGGCACGAAGGTCACAGGGGCGGCATTTGCAGTCTGGCCGGTCTCGCAAGGCACGACTTTCAGCGCATCGTGACAGTTCACAAGAGTATGAGATTTGCTATGCCGAGGACAGTATGCGCTGGATTCACCTCAGCCTCGCTTTGTTTTCCACTGTACATCGGCAGTGTGCTGGAACAGAAATTTAACGGACTGATGTGGTTCAACTCCCCTGTCTAATTGTTCCACATATCCTGTGTGATTCAGTTCGAGTCCAACGCAACAGCGCAGCCGGTTTGGTACCTCTAATGACGGTAGGTGACGAGTATGTGCAAGGTGATGAACAGATTCTACTGGCTTTGAGTTGGCATTCCAGTAAAATGTCAAGGGACGGGATAGGAATGTACAGGACTCACGAAAATGCCGTCAGGAATCGCATTGGTATCGAGCTCTTTCGGCCGGCTTGAGTTGGTGCGATCATCGGTCTCCGACAGGGAAGAAGAGATAATCTGCATACGCATTTGAAAAGATAAAAATGACGGAGAAATGTAGAACCGGAATTCAAAAGTAACAGTAAAGTGGTTACAGTCTTTAAAACCAGACATATATAGTGACACAGGTAAAAGTTTAAAAACCATTGTGTGAACATACAGAAAGTTTTCGAGTTGCTGCCCAAACTATCCGCCTTTGAAAGGAACATGCACGTTAAGGTGCCTACCTTATATGATAAAGACACATGAGGAAGTGAAGTAGACTAGTTCCAACAAAATGCGCCACGGCAACAATTCGGGAGAACATTTTGCGATCAGACATAAGATTGTAATCCAACAAACATGTGTCGACCTCTCTTCAGCCTTAGGCTATTCTTAAATGCAACCAGTTTTTATTTTTGAATCTGCTAGGAGAATTACCCAAACGCCGGAGGATTTATCTGCTTCAGAGATCGACAGATATCGTCTGTGCAAAAATTTTCTGACGTCTAACTACACAAAAGCAAACGATTAACTTGTATTTCGCCTACATTTGCCAAGAACGAGTAGCCTTAGTAATGTAAAGAAATATTATCTTCCGTTCGAACTCAATTCGCTTCGAAGATGAAGATCGCCTAAACGACCTTCTCTATTTGCGCCTCGGTCTAACAAATATTAACGCCGACTTAATAGGGAAGTGTGGCCTCACTGTACCGACTGACATCAGTCTTATTTGGGGAGTCCTAAGGAGAGTTAACATCAGCCCTCAAATTAAAGCACAAGGTACGAAATACGCCGGATTTTGGTTGTAACTCAAACAACAAAACGACAGCTCGACAGCCGTTGGAGATCCGCCTATATTGAGACAGATCGTGACAATTAAGGTTAAACAGATCAAACATGACCAGGGCCACATCACCCGAAGCAAGTACAATACGGCATTTGCTCGAAGAGCCCTGGAAGCTGTTTTGAAAGGGGCTCTAGTCAGTAAAACAATTAGGTGCATTCGTAAGGCAGCAACGTGTCCGCAGACTGTTGTTTTTGTTCAAACCTCTGCCACTTCAAGATCATCCACCTTCCCGTGGGGGGAGGGGGGGGAGGGTATTAGCACTCCGGGCTTACAGTCGAACCGACTGCAACACGCGTATTCACACCGTTTTGACACACGTCAGTTAAACTTGCTTCCGCAAGCATCTGATGCTACAGTCTCACTGCTGCACCTCAGGAGTAAGTTGAGACCGTCAACACACTCTCTGGCCTGACCAGTGGCTGCTGCTGCTGCCTGAGACAGCAATTCAGGCCTTTCCACACAATAAAACCCGTCTTCTGGTGTCTTCTCTACACTGCTGCTAGTCGGAACTTGGTCTGCTGGTCGTAGCGCTAACAACATAGCTGCTACTCGAGTCGGTGAAGGTAATGCGCCGTGTCCATTCCAAGTCTCATCACAGTTTTCTTTGACTGAAGACCTTTTTGAATAAAGTCTGGAGGGGAACCGTCCACTATCCCTTGGAGCTACATGAATACTACAAACTGTGCTGTTCTTCACAGCCCCAGTACCGGTTTACTGATGAGAGGAGATAAAGGGTGGTGTCGAAAAGAGCATTCGTGAATCTTCACAAAACTGCAAGTTTTTTCAGTAACGAGCTTCATCAATCTTATTCGGACGGATGTGTTCATGAGACGATTAAAGCTTACCTCAACCGACTTATATGAGTGACCGATCTCATGAAATGTTGATCGAAATTCTGAAATGCGTTTTCGATTAGGAAGGATTACTTAGGTACGGCAACAACGATTATCATACGGCATAATACTATAATGTTTCGGACTCACCAGGATGTCTGTTTTTGAATGCATTTCTTTTTGACCTCCAGTAGAAATCGCACACGGTAAGAAATGACTACTTAATTGGCATGCGTTTTTCACATTGATTTTTGATGGTCTTATGAATTCAAATATATTTATAGAAAACATGCATAAAAATATGTTTTCTTCTACTCGCTTGGCGGAGAATCACGTTGTCTTTATATTCTATACCTGAAGGAAGGGTATATTTAGGTTTTGAAAAAGTTTCTCAATGTCCGAATAATTTTGAGTCTGATCAGCCGTTGCATTAGCTTTTGCGATTTCAGTCTACTAGGTGCTTGCTTTCGGCGTAAGAAAAATAATATATTCCTCTATGCCTACAAAAAGATACCATGTAGATTTCATAAAATATTACAATGGATTCGGACTATGTTATACATTTCATGAGAAGCATTGGCAAACGGACATATGCTATGCTGTATGAATGGAAATTGCACGGTCTTAAAAATCTCATGATTAAAAACTTTTTTAAAAGCTAAATATATCCTCCCATCAGGTAAAAAAATATAAGGACAACGTGATTCTCCACCAAGCGAGTAAAAGAAAGCATATTTTTATGCATGCTTTCTATAAAATAAATTTGCATTTATAAGACCATCAAAAATCAATGTGAAACATGAACGTCAATTAAGTAGCCATTTCTTGCCGAGTGAGATTTCTACAGGAGGTCAAAAAGAAATGCATTCAAAAGCAGAAATCCTGCCGAGTCCGAAATATTACTGGATTATGCCGCATGATAATCAATGTTGTTACCGTACCCAAGTAATCCTTCCTTATCGAAAACGCATTTCAGAATTTCGGTCAACATTTCATGAGATCGGTCACTCACTGTAGATACAGAAGTTTTTTTTTAATTAGCGAAGATGTCTGGTTAATAAGAAATGTTGAAATTTTGGCCGAAGTCATGTTAAGCGAAAAAAGAGGTGCAGGTCGCACGACGACACTAGATGTCAGTGAGATTGATTTGCTTCCCACATCAATTGGGGCATTTTACACAAAAAGAAGCTTGAAATACGTGTAATACATAAGAAGTGTGCGTCTGTGAACTCCAAGACTGACTACAGATATAAATGATAACGGAAAATGTGAGAGGGTCATAAAATACATGTTCAACAAGAGAGAAAATGAAAGCCACACGAGACAGCCCGATCGGCATCTCACTCGGTAACAGTTATCCCAGTCGAACTACTTCAGGTACAGACAGAGCCTTACCTCTGACAGGTTTTCGGTCTGCGAGTTACTAGACGGCATCGTTAAAAATCATCCCAGCGTGTTGCTCCCGCCACCTAGAGTACGGACGCGCGAGCCAACAGCCACGCGCTAGCGCGGGAGGTTTTAGGCTGTGCGCACGCTCAATGACCTTCACCGCCAGTCACATGACCAATCAATGAGCCAATCAGCTGGGCAGTAGGCGCTGACTACGTGCGCGGCTGTCGCTGATTTGTCGGGACGACCTCGCGGACAAGAAAGAACCTGGCTGCGCTTAGAGTCACTGTTCTGCTTGTGGCAACAGTCAGTGCCCACTTACTTTCGTCATTTAGTATCCACGATGTCGCCCTGCGATCGGTTGCTGCGTTTAATTAATTAAAAAATCAAGACTCGCATGCACATAGCTTCCACCATGCTTTGGTGGGGCAAACAATCTGTCTCAATTTCGCCCTACTCCTACATATTTGACTAGAACTGATTAACCACTTGCGTGCATAAGAATTTCGCCATTCTTTCGCATCGCTTTATAGACGGCAATAACTTCAGACACCTGAATTTCCATGGCACTATGGAGACTTCTGGCTATCATTAAGTCCACCAAAACGTCTGGACTATTTCCCAAACTTTGTTGACGCAAAAAGACACGAGCGAAATAACTGGGAGCCGAGGAACATCGAAGAGTCTGCGATGATTATTAAGGAGACTGCGAGCGGAGATTTTTATAACAATAAATGCAGGAGATAGGAATAGCGATTGTTGCAAATTTATTGATTCCTTGTCTACTGATCGACCTGTGAAATACTGGCGTTCCTGAAGGGTTCCGTACGTACCGGCAGACTTTCTGGAATAGAGAGTCCAGTTTGGTCAAAAGTGTAGAGTCAAAGCATCTATAATTTGGGCTGGAATTTGCCGGTGTCCAAAACTTTTCCATTTGAGGTCCGCTACTGTCTTGATCATCCCCTGCAGGGAGGGTGGACTGTCAATAACACTATTAGTTTGCACTTAAGGATATCTGCTCATAGCCTCCCCGTAGTCTGGAAATGGGTGAAAGTCCGGCTGTCGTTAGTGACGATATCCGCCATGTGTCCTACAGTAAGGTGAAAGCAGGCACGGCGAGTTCGGTATCAAGACACAGTCAAGAAGACCGAAGGCGAGAGTGGGCGCGGGTGGCTGGTACGGCCGCACCTAGGAACGCCATCACACCCCCTGGTCTACAACAAACACCTGATCAGGATTTTAAACAACAACAACAGCACAACGGGATAGGATGACTGGGCAGTCATGATCACGACCTGTATACCCAGCGGAACTGCAAGCGCATCGACCGGCAGGGAACCAGGTGTGAGAGAACTTCCAGCGCACACCAGGCTGCGAAGGCCATGGTTTGCTTGTCAGGCATACCAGGTGATTACATTACTTGACTGCAAGTTGGCAGTCGACGACGCACCTACCGCGCACGTCCCAGCACTTCAAGAGACGCATTTCCCTCGACAGTAGTTTTCTACCATCAGAGCCTTCGGAGG